AGGGGTCCAGCACAGGTCTGGGGGTGGCACTTGTCCTGCTCCCTAGGAGGCTCAGACTCAGGCCCTGGGCTGGGAAGGGGTTGGGACAGTGTGGCCCAGGGAAGCCTGGGCCTGTGGAAAGGGGGCCAGTTCTTCCCAGAGCTTCAAGACAGAGTTTTCCCAGGTGTGTGTATCTTCTCGGTAAAGGAGATCTTTGCAGGCCCTCCCTGGTGGCGCAGCAGGTTAAAGCACAGCAGTGTGAAGCTATTGCAGCCACTTCAGCATGAGTTCGACCCCTGGCCAAGGGAGGTGACCCACATGGCGCAGCAGACCTCTCCTGACCCGCCCGCTGCTCCCCTCAGCAGTGTACTTCGTCAATCTGCCTGCTCTGCTCCCCACGCTGTCTCTGGTGAATCCTCTCACCCCCGTACCTCTGGCCTGTACCCCAGTTCCATATGTATAAATAAATCCTTTTTTTTTTTTTTTAAGAAGGTCTTTGCTTTCTTTCAAAGATGAAATCTCAGCCTTTGTCTGCTCTCTGACAAATCCCTGGCTTCCAGGAGCTCCCTGGGGAAGCAGTCCTCTGCCTGCCCCTGGGTCTGCCTTCCTGCCAGAGTAGGACTGCTCGGTCCACTGCTGGGGGCGGGGGCAGTGGAGGGGGAGTGTCTCCTGGGGGAGGGGGTGTCAGGCCAGAAGGAAGTCTGGAGTGGCCTTGACAACAATTCCCATCCTCCAGGGAAATCTCAGCTCTGCTCCTTGAGACAAAGTGTAGACTTTAAAACATTTGTTCCTGAGGCTGGAACTAAACAGCTCACCCCTGGACCTGCCTCAGGGGTGTGTTTGTTTACTTTTTGTTTGAAATGATTATAGATTTACAGGAAGTTGCAAAAAAAAAAAAAGTACAGAGGTCTGCAGTGTCCTCTACACTCACGATGGCGACATCACGCAGAGTGTAAGTTCAAGATCAAATACTCAGGCTTTAAAATGAGACAAGCACAGCCAGAAAGGTGGGGGGGGGGTCAAAATAGCTCTACCCCTTCTCTGGGGCTCCCCCCAGAACCTGTGTAAGTGTGAAGACTGGTCTGGTGGGGATGGGTGGGCTGGTATCTGCCAGCCAGGGGAAGAGGGAGGTCACTCATGTGACCTGAGCAAGTTGCTGCTTTGGGGATCGTTTGCAACATTTCCAAGAATGAAAAGCTGGAAACATGGAGATGGGATCGGTTAAGATAATGACGAAGCACCCACACCATGAACACGTGCAGCTGTAGTAATTACACCATTGAAGGATACTTTTCATCAGGATAAATATTCCTGATAGACTGGCAAGTGAAATAAGAGCCCCCAAAATATGTGTGGTACCCACACCCACAAATATATAGCCACAAATATATATGCGCCCGCAACATACCTACACATGCACGGATATAAAATGCTGACCCCTAGAGATGTTAACATGTGGACACTGATTATCTTTAGCTCATGGGCGGATGCGTGTTTATTTTTTCCTCTGTATCTTACATGTTTTCTGCTTTACCTACACACGAGTGGAATTTTTAAAAACATGGTCACATGCACCTCTCGCCTTGACTCAGCACCAACTGGGCTGTGTCTGGTCAAACTTCCAGGGCAGGTGCCACGGCATTTTCTGAGGGTTCTAGGAGGGTTCTGCTGGCCTCTGGGATGGCCTGGAGAGCCAGGGCTGACCCTGCTGGAGGAGGGGCTCGCTGTGTGGGAGAAGCCGGCAGCACACCAGCAAGGCGTCCAGGGCCCCTCACCAGGGAGCCGGGGTCATCTGGTGACTGGGAAAAGTCTAGATCTGGGCTGAGGCCAGGCCCCCGGTCCGCCCTGCCTCGTGCTGCTTCTTCACCATCCACTCACACATGCCAGCCTGTCCACTCAGCCCAGGAGCTGCCTCCTGGAGCTCAGTACATCTCTGCAGTCCATTTGGCTCTCCCCACCCACCCATTTTCCCTTTCCCCCTGCTGCCCCACCTCTGTGGCTTGGATGCTTCCTGCAGGGAGTCCGGCTGAGCCCTGGTTCCCCCCTCCACCCGGTCCTCCCCGAGAACCTTAATCACGCATCTCAGCAAAGTACCCAGCATCCAGAGCAACCAGATGACGGACTCTGAGCTGGTTTCCTCCAGCAGTGCTTAAACCTGAAAGGCCAGGTCTAACCCTGGGCCAGCGCCAGGAAGCCTGCACTCCACAGCACGGGGTGTGGTGCCCACACGCTCAGCCCTGACAATAAAGGGAGCGAAAATGCCCTCTCCTTACCCTGAGATCATGGGACTCATGATTTAGTGGGGTGTGCTAATGGGGACGGAGGGGGTACAGCTCCTGACTCCCCTCCCCCCATGGAGAGGAACTTCCGTGGCCCCAGGTCCTGGTGCACCCTGACCCCACCTGCTAGCTCTTGTACTTGTTCCCAGTCATGGTCACGAGGGGACTGGCGAGGGATGGTGACTCAGCCCAATCCATCACCACAATGGAAAAACCCAGTCACCTGTCCTCCTGGCAATGGGACCGGAGATGCCTTTGCATCTGGAAGGGCAACAAGCCATACTCTTTTCAAGGTCCTTTTGCCTTTCACCTGCTGAAAAAGCAGCCTAAGGTATGCAGACGCACCACCAGCCCACACTAGATTGGGGGGGGGGGGCGCAAGTGTCCCCAGCCCACCCGGCTCAGGGTTAAAAGCCCGTGAATGTCATCTCACAGTCAGGCCTCAGCAAGTCTTTTGTTGTCTGAAGTGAACACTGGTTGCTCTTTTATCCACCAGCATCTGATATGTCCTTCTGACACATCAGAACACACACCCCCCCCCAAGGAACGGAAGACACCTTTTCCACCTCCTGCTAGCTTTGACAACCTGAGTACCTGATCTGATGCTTCCACTCAAGGTGCCTTGACTAACCCTAGACTGTGAATGAGAAACCATTGCCAGGAGGAAGCCAAGACCACAAAGAATCACCTCCAGCCTCCACGCAGCCCTGGTCTCAGTGACAGGCGCCATGTCCTCGCTCCACCTTGTCCGGGTTCCACTCAAGCCATAGCAGCTATGCTTGGGGGGAGCAGGAGTCGTCTTGACCCCAGGCCAACACTGCAGTGAGGACCCCGTTCCCGAGGTTCTGAGAGCCGCCCGCCTTCCTGTCCACAAAGCTCCTTTCCACTGAAACTAACCAGAGCAAGTGTCTGTGCTGGGACCCTCCCCTGCTGACATACTAGCACATTTCCAGTGAGGGACGACGGAAGACGCAGAGAGGTCTTCAGAAGCCAAGATGGAGGTTTGTCTCCCCATCTTGCAGACGGGAAAGGGAGGGCCAGAGAAGGCAGTGACCCAAGGGAGGCAGCATCTTCAGGTAGCGGAGCAAGGTGGCCCCAGCCCTCTGCCATGCTCTACTTTCCACTGATCAAAACCCTGCCATCCACCCGCCCCTAAGCATCATGCTTCCCCTGCAGGGTGCTGAAGGTGAGCGGCCAGGAGCAGAAGGCGCTGAGCTTGCCCTTCTGCTGACTCAGCAGGGCCCCTCCTAGCCAGGCAGGGCTGATCCCGCAGAAGCCTCCAGGGCTCCCTCCACCTGCCAATTCCAGAAGCACCATTGCTTGATGCAGTATAGTCCCTGCCCCCACGGGTGGTGGGGGTGTGTTCTTACATTCCCTCATCCTCTATTGAGATTCCACTTTGACGATTCAAATCTGACCCACCTGAATGCTCACTTGGGTCATGAGTTACCTGAGCCAATGGATTGTCTACATCAGTTTAACGCCTTCAGGACACCATTCCCCACACCTCAGACATCACACTGCCAGAGCTCTCACTAGGCAGCCTCTGGCTGAAGTCCTCAAGGAATCCAGAACAGGCTAGGCCCCATAATTATGTCACAAGAACATCAAGATTCAGCTTTGCTCTGTCGCTAGGTCTGAAGTTACTGAAAAGGATAGAACTCAGGAATGCCTGAAAGAATCTCCCCTGCGATAATTCGTCATCGATTATAATCACGAATACTTGTTGACGCTTAAGTCAGGTGTCTGACCCTAACGTAAGCATTTTTCTGTATGTTCCATCCTTTCATTCTTACAGGAACCCTCTGAGGTCAGCGCCATCAGCTTTACAGTGAATGACATGAGGCTCAGAAAGGGTAAGTAACTTCTGGACATCACACAGCTTCAGAAATGTTCAACAGCCTGTGCTCCTGTGAACTGGCTCCAGACACATCTATACAACCACAGACTGGGGGGTTTTTTGATCCTCAGGCTCACTGCACCACCATTCACCCCTCCCTGATTCAAGAAGGAAATTGAGAGGCAGGCATTTCCCCACAGTGAGGCCCAGAGCCATCAAGAGACCTACACCTGTGTGACATGCTGTGCCCCAACAGGGACAGGCACCCCACTAGCGGTTCCTCAACAGTGGTGAGAGGGTTAAATAATTCCCATATCAGCTTTAAGGCAGCCTGCAGTGAAAACAGGGACCTCACCACCATCAGGCCAGATAAAGGCCCTGTCCACCTCCCACCCCACTTCCATCCCAAACCGTCTGGACCAACACTAGTCAGATCCCCAGAAGAGCTGACATCTGCGGCTGAGCCCCAGGAAGGGGCCTGCAGAGATCCTGAAGAGCGGCTCCCAGGAGGCTTCTCAGGACTAGCCTGCCCTCGCACCTCTCAGACCACAGTGGGCTCAGCTAGGGACTTAGCACTCCTCGTGTGGGGTGACCGGTGGGAGTAATGACCCTGGGCCAGGCCAGAGAGAGCTGAGGAAGACGGGGTCTCCCGCTCCCTTTCCTGCTCAGGGAAGGGGAGGGAAGGGTCAAGGCAGCTGGGCCCTTACACACTCGGGGAGGGCTTGTGAGGGCTCAGAACACCTTTGCTTGCGGCCAACCCCACACAAATTCCCTAAGGAAACCTGGCTCTGAGAACCGCAGGGCCGTCCCGATGGGCCCTGAACACCTGGCTCTTCCCGAGCCCCGGGCTTTCTCCCAACGGGGCCGGGAAGCTGGGCAGAGCGGGAGGACGCGTTGACTCTGCCAGGCTGGGGCTCCCCGTGGGAGTCTAAACAAAGGCTGAAGTAGAGGTGCCCCTTCCTGGAACCCGAGGCGACGACGGAACAGGCGGCGCGGGCGGGACCTTCCTCCGGGCGTCTGCGGGAGGTGAGAAAAGCTCGTGGGTCGGCTGGGGTCTCCCCTAGACTGGCGAGTCGCGGGGTGGCCTTGGCCGGCCTGCCAGCCCACTCGGCTCTCCTGCCACAGTGGGAGGTGAAAGCTGAGCCCCGGGCACCGCCTCCCGGGTCAGCCCGCAGGCCCGCCCCAGCCCCCTGCCCC